CCCCCCCCCCCCCTCCCCCCCTGAAATGAATAGCTCCTCGAAGACGGGCATAATTTTCAAATCATTAAAAAACTTGCTGAAAAAAAAACCCGGAGTCACGGCTTGAAAAAAAAATTTCATTTCTCTTTTAATCGAAAAAGGACTAACTTCGATAAAAAAACAACCTGTTTCATCTTACCCATCGGAGAGTGCAACAAAGTTTTTTTTTTTTTTTTGACAAATTTAGACATACTTCATTTCTGGCTGTCGCTCGAGTTCCTCAACCTCTACGCCTTTTTCTTCCTCGTTTTCTAGGACAATTCGCGGAATGTGGGTGATATGTGGTGAAAGAGTGGGTGCGCTTTCGCACGATGAACTCACTGTAGGCAGTTCTAGCAAATCCTGAAACAAAGGGTTGCTATTACTTTCCTGAGCTATTACTTTTAAATATTTTCAAATCTCGAAAATTTAGGTATTTTTTCTTGTTCAAAAATTCATAGATCACTACTGTTGAATTTCTTTTCAAGCAACATAAATCAATCAATTCAATTTTAGGGCGAGCAAGCGATAAAACTGAATTTTTCCAAGAAAATTTCAGGAATGTGTTAGAAAATATTTGTTTTCTTCGTATTCAGCCTCTAAACTCGGAAAAAATAGTGGCAAAAAAACTAAAAGCCAAGGATCGATTTTAGGCTTAGGTAGTAGACACATGAAAATTACCAATTCTCGATGGAACAGTAATTTGTCAGGTTCCAAGATAAATTCATAGATCACTACTGTTGAATTTCTTTTCACGCAACACAGATCACTCAATTCAATTTTAAGGCGAACAAGCGGTAAAAAGTGAATTTTTCCAAGAATAAAATTCAAGGAATGTGTACGAAAACAAATATTTTCTTCGTATTCAGCCTCCAAATTCGGCAAAAGGGAAGTAGTGGCAAAAAACCAAAAACCCAAGGAATGATTTTAGGTTTAAGTAATAAACACATGAAAATTACCAATTCTCGTTGGAACAGTAATTCGTCAGGTTCCGAGATATGGGAAGGATCAACAGGGGCACGCCATTCCTGTTCATCTTTTACAATATTTGCATCTGTCGTCTCATATATATCATGATCGCTGCTTTCACTCGTTTCTGATCCTAAAATTTAAATTCACTGAATTTTCACATCACTACAGCAATATTGCTGCTGCTAAGTAAATGTGTTCTTGCAACATCTCAAGTTAACGTTTCGCTGAAAGATTCTTTAGAATGAGGAGTTAGTTTTCACCAAAAAGTTATATTTAGTGATAACTAACTCCTCAGACTAGAATCTTAGACTAGAATAACTCAGACTAGAAAAAAAAAAGACTATCACGAAATTATCACGAAAAAGTTATTATCACAAAATATCATGAAATTGTCGCAAAATAATTATTATCACGAAATCATCACGAAATAGTTGTAAAAAAAAATCCGCAGCTCCTGGCCCCTTACAGCAAAATGGGATCATAAAGCCCCAACTGCCATCATTACAAATGTCCGAAAATAATATAAATGGTAATCACTTGCCGATAAAGTTACTAAATGAATCAGAACTGCAAAACCCGCACAAAAGCCAAGAAAAATATCTGGGAATGGCAGGTATTCCCGGGTGTGCCCAGATGCACAAAACGTTAAGCTGAATTTTGTTCACCCATTTCATTCGATGTCTCCGAGGCAGAAATTCTGTGGAGAATTTGTTAAGTACCAAAAATAAATTATTTGCATTTGTTCATGAGTTCCTGCTATAAATTTTATAAAAAGTTACAGGTCTCTCCGACAACGAAATGGCTTTTGCTTATTGAATTGGAAATCTTAAAAATTCCTGCTAGAAATAGCAAAAATCTTCCCCAAAACAAAAATAATGCTGCACAAAAATAATTCAAAGGTTTTAGCTCTGGATTTTAGGACTGATTTTAGCTTTGGATTTATCAAGATAATATTACTTATTATTAGTTTATTTAGATATGTTATTTTTTGGCTAAAATCTTTTGAATCTTTCGATACACATTCACAGATATATACATATACATATATATATATATATATATATATATATGTATATATATATATATATAT